CGGGCAGGAGTGACTCCTGGGGGCTTCTGAGTGTGGGCGAGGCTCCTGAGGGCCGCGTGTCCCACCTGCCGAGAGCGCTTGTGACCTTTCCCGCGGTGGTTGTGGTGGTGGCCGCAGCTTTTTGGGTGACATAATCTGAAGCCCAGGTCTCCTGCTGCCTCAATCAGAAGAGCAGGTTTTGCCGAGTGCTTTCCACCCAAGCTTCAAATCATCTCGCTGTTTCTGCTCTGAGTCTGTAGCAGCTGTGACCGTGGTGCGTCTGTGCCTGCCACACAGCCTCCCTAGTAGATTTGGAGAAGAGGCAGGGCTGTGGCCTCCCATCAAATGAGTCCCCTAAATCCCCTTTGATGTGGACTAAAGGCAGTGCTGGGCACGGTGGTGTACACCTGTGATCCCAGCACTTGGGAGGCTGAGGCAGGAGGATCGTAAGTTCAGCCTTTGCCTGGACAAGTTAGCAAGACTCTATCAAAACGAAAAAATTAAAAAGAGCTGGGATATAGCTCAGTGCAAAGGTCTTGAGTTCACTTCCTGGTAGTGAAAAAATGAAATGGCAAACAAAAACCCAGTGCCTTGCCCATCTCAAACCATTGGAAAAGAGGACCCCAACCAGCTGCTCAGGGCTGTCTCCCAGCACAGTGTATGAAAACCATCTTCCAAGAAGGCAGTGCCCAGCTCCCTTCCTGCTGTTAGTCTGACCCACTGGAGTGCAAAGTGTCTTTGAGTGAGCCCCTTGGTGGCAGGAGACCCAAGGGGCCCGCTGACAGCTGGAGCGCAGGGCTCTCGAGTGCTGTCCCAGAAGCCAGATGGAGCTGAGGGACTTGGCGAGGAGCCGTTGCGGCCCAAGAGGGGTCAGCGGGAAGCAACCTGGAGAGTGCTGTGCCCCCCAGTACTGCACTAGGGATGGAATCCAAGGTGCCTACCCTTGAGCTACACCCCCTGACCTTTCTGGTTTTTATTTTGAGACAGGATTACATTGACCTGCCCAAGTTAATCTGGAACTTCTGATCTTCCTGCCTCAGCCTCCCAAACAGCTAGGATCCTGGGGCGCTTCCCCTCGCCTGGCCATGCCTTGTGACTCCCTGAAGTGAGTCCAAGCACTTGCAGGCCAGGCTCCCAGGGGCACAGCCCAGGGGCCTTGGGCTTTCCAGCTGCTGCAGCAGGGCCCTCCGAGCGGCTGCGGAGGAGCATCGCCTTTGCGGGCAGCTTGAGCCAGCAGCCTCCTCCTCATCTGGTGGACAGCAGTTTCTTTTGAGTGTTTAATTATGGAAAATGTAAATGCTAGGCAAGAGTAGGAGGAGGCTAGGACCCAAGCGAGGCAACATGGCCGCAGGTGCGTCCCTGCCGGCCCGATCCTGCCCCATGCTCTGAGGAAACCTGAGTGACAGTGACATGTGCTGCTGTCCGGTGAGGGTGGCTCAGAATTCGAATTCCACATCCTTTTCCGGGAAGCACCGAACCTCACCTCTCTGCCTTGGCTTCCAGTGGGAAGTTGGTGTCACCCAAGTGGAAGAACTTCAAGGGCCTGAAGCTGCAGTGGAGGGACAAGATCCGGCTCAACAACGCCATCTGGCGGGCGTGGTACATGCAGTGTAAGTGCTGCCTGGGGCTGGGGGCTGTGAGGAAGGGGCGTGGACGGTCGGGCAGGGCTCCAGGGGCAGTGGTGACATCTCTCTCTCTGCCCAGATTTGGAGAAGCGCCAGAACCCTGTGTGCCACTTTGTCACCCCGCTAGACGGCTCTGTGGAAGTAGACGAGCACCGCCGGCCAGAGGTACTTGGCGCAAAGAGCAAAGTCCCCTCGGCCCCAGGCAGGGGTGAGGGCTGTGCGGGGTGGCTGGGTGTGACCCTGAGAGGGGACCAGTGGCTGCAGAGTCCCCTTTTCTCAGGCCGGCTGAGCCAATTGAGCCTTGTCCTCACCTTCCTTCTGCTTTTGCTTTGGTCTTGGGGATCAAACCTGGGGCCTGGGGCGTGCTAGGTGAGCCCGTCTTGAGTGACGCCCCACCCCTCTACTGTTACTTGAAATCCGTCTGCCTTCCGGGGTCATCAGAGAAAGTTTGTTCCTTATTAGGCAGGTGGGCTTAATAACGCTTTTTTCAACAGTGTCTCACTGTGTAGCGCAGGCTGGCCTTGAACTCACAGCTGCCCTCCTGCTTCAGGCTCCCGAGCTAGGACCATAGGGGTGCGCCACCACGCCTGGCTTCAAGATGTACTTAACAGTTAGAGACCTTGAGATCTTTAGATACTGAGATGGAAACAGGTTGAAGAAAGAGTAAGTTTTTTAAAAGCCAGTTCCTGGCCTGCTCTGGTGGTGCACACCTCTAATTTTAGCACCTGGGAAGTTGAGGCAAGAGGATCACAAGCTCAAACCTAATCTGGTCAATTTAGGTAGAACCTGCCTTAAAATAAGTTGTTTTGTTTTGTTTTGTTTTGGGTACTGGGGATTGAACTCGGGTCCTAGTGCTTGCGAGGCAGGCGGTGGAACCAGTTTTTTGGTTTTTTTGAGACAGGGTCTCACTATGTAGTTGAGACTGACCTGGAACTCACTATGTAGCTCAGGCTAGTCTCAAACGCACAGTGATCCTCCTGCCTCAGCCTCCCAAGTGCTAGGATTACCGGCGTGCACCACCACACCCAGCTAAAATAAAAATTTTTTAAAAGAAGAAGGATCTGGGGACGTAGTTCAGTGTAAGGGCCCAGGGTTTGTTCTCCAATACCCCAAAATCAGGCAAAAACAGTTGCATACCACTATATTTATTATATTTTTTAGTATATTTATATTCTTTTAAAATGTGTACCTCAGATCTTACGTGCAGAGAAAATGTCTCGGAAGATAGAAATCTTAGTAGTGGGTCCTTCTGCAGGGTATGAGATCAGAGGGGAGACTGCACTTTACAGTCTGCACTGTTTTAAATTTGTCTGACCATGTCTTAGGAAAGATGTCTTAGGATGGTCTTAGGACCATGTCTAAGGAAAGAAATTTAAAGATTTAAACAATTCACAACTCTTGGATATAACTGGTATTTGATGGTGTCTTACTTAACTTTTCTCTCGTTGCTGAAACAAAATACCCAACACCCAAAGTTAAAGGGAAAAAAGTTTATTTGGCTTACAATTCCGTAGAGGTTTTAGTCCATAATTGGCTGGCTCCAAGGCAGGATGGCAGAGGGCACCAGTTCACAGCAGACAGATGGTAGCAAAGCAGCAAGGGACCTCAGCAGTGCCGCCCTTGTCCAGACTGCTGGGATTAGGGCGGTGTCAAACCAGTCACCCAAGAGTAGTGGTTCCCCGGGTGTGGTGCACTCCTGTAATCCCAGCACTGGGGAGGCTGAGGCAGGAGGATCTGTGAGTTCGAGACCAGCCTGGGCTACATAGTGAGTTCCAGGTCAGTCTCAACTACATAGTGAGACCCGGTCTCAAAGAAAAACAAACAAACAAACAAAAATTAGTAGTGGTTCAATGCCACTGTCTGCCTCACAAGCACAAGGACCTGAGTTCACTCCCCAGTACCAAAAAAAAAAAAAGTAGTGGTTCAGTAATCACAGACCCTTAACCCCAGCATCACACACTCTATATTCAGCTAGCTCATCCACATGAGGCTTCGGGGGGACAGCTGCACACAAGCCATAGCAGGCAGTATAAGGGACATAGTTCTGGTAGATATGGGGGTAATACTGTAATCTTATTTTGGCTTTTTGTTTCTGCAGTGCTAGGACTCAAACATAGAGTTAATCCCACCCAGATAAACACTGCTCTGTGTGTGCATGTGTGCGTGTGTGCGTGTGTGTGTGTGCACTCGCACTGTACTGGGGATCCTGGTTTTAAAAAACTGACCCTTCACCGTTTCAGACGTGCAGTGAGTGTGTGTAGGTCACGTCTGAAGGTGAGACGACAGCTGTCGGGCAGGGTGGTTTCTTTTCGATTCGATGATCTTGGGGTGGACACTGCCCTCACCTTCAGGGAGCACAGCAGAGTTGGTGTCCCCCGTCAGTGTATGTAGCACCCTCACCCTGGGACCTCCCCACCAAGCACCTCGCCCTGCCCTTGGGCCCCAGTGCAGACACACATGCCACTCATGTGTGCCGCCCTGGACGTCCCAAGTCTTGAAATGAGGATGCGTTTTTAGGCTGAGGGCCAGCTGTAACCCAGAGGAGCTGAGGCAGGCTTTGTGAGAACAAGGGTACCGCTGTGTGTGGGTCTCCTAAGGCTACTTCAAGTGTCCACTGCTGCCTCCAAGTCCCCGGGTTGAGTCTGCTGCTAGCCCAGTCACCTGCCTTCAGCCTGGTCTCTGTCGCAGGCCATCACCACTGAGGGGAAGTACTGGAAGAGCCGCATTGAGATCGTGATCAGGGAGTACCACAAGTGGAGGACCTACTTCAAGAAAAGGGTATCTGCTGGCCGGGCTCCCAAAGGCGTGCTCAGGGGGCGTGGAGCCTGGGTTCACAGCGCTGTCCCTGCAGCCCTGGCTATTTCCCTGCTACAAACAGGCCTGTCTCCTCCCCAGCCCTCTCCTCTGTGCCTGCCGCTTGCACAGGGCAGGCTGTCCGTCCTACCTGCCCCCCAGAACGACAAGGCCCAGGTGCTGGGGGTGGGGGCCCTCACAGCTCCTAGGCACTCATCCTGCCCTTTGTCCCCAGCTCCAGCAGCACAAGGATGAGGACCTCTCCAGCTTGGCCCAGGTGAGTGTACCTCAGGCCCTGTCTGGCCAAGGAGCAGCAGTGGCATGGTAGTGGAACAGGGATGGGACTTTGCTTCACTCTCTCCTTAGGTCTGGAGTGGCTAAGGGAGCAGTGGCACTCTCTGCTGGTGGCCTGGAGGGGGCGCTTTCCAGGTGTCCCTACCCACTGGCCTCATGATGGCACAGCAGCCCTGTAGCAATTGGGGCTTTCCAGTTCCGCTGCTGCACTCTGATATGTCCTCCCTCTTTGGTGGCAGGACGATGACATGCTTTACTGGCCCAAACACGGGGATGGCTGGAAGACCCCAGTCCCCATGGAGGAGGACCCGCTGCTGGACACAGACATGCTCATGTCGGAGTTCAGTGACACCCTCTTCTCCACCCTTTCTTCACACCCTCCGGTGGCCTGGCCCAACCCACGGGAAATAGGTAATCGACAGGGCCCAGACAGTGCGCTACAGACTGGAGTTCATTTCAGAGCTGCAGCCTGTCCCTTGCCTAGGCCAGGAAGACAGGAGATGAGTCGTCGGCCAACCTCTGAGGGCCCCCTCCTTTGAGTAGGTGGGGACTCCAGATCCAGCTGTTCCCTGGGTTTCACTGAGGAACTACTAAGGGCCTGGCCAGACCAGGTTCAAACTTCTGGTCCTGTCTGTCACCGTAGTGACTGGGACTCTGAGAAAACTGGAAGCACTCATGGACACAGTCTTCAGTCAGCCCCTTGGGGAGGGGAAGTGGATGTCGGGCTCCCCACTAAAGCCCTCTGGCTTCCTGGGGTAACCATTCCCTGCTGCCCAGCCAGGCACACACCTGCAGTCCCAGCCTCTCTGGATGCCTCGCGGGAGTGTCGCTTGAGCCCAGTTCTGGGCCAGCTGGGCAACAAAACCAGATCCCTATCCCAAGCAAGCAAGCACACAAGCTGCAGGGGCTGGAGATGTAGCTCAGTGGCACTGCGCCTGCCTGGCAAGCACAAGGTCCTGAGTTTGAGCCTCAGTACCGCAAAAAAACAAAACAAAACAAAAAAAAGCGACAGGTCCTTGCCGCCTTCAGGCTGAGCAGGACAACCATGAACCCCAAGAAACCCCAGCCCTCCAGACCTGTAACAGGGCTGTTAAGAGGGTGACTGTGCCTCTCTTTCTCTGGCTTTTGCAGCACATCTGGGAAATGCAGACATGATCCAGCCGGGGCTGATTCCTCTGCAGCCCAATCTGGATTTCATGGACACCTTCGAGCCTTTCCAGGGTGAGAACCCAGCAGAGGGACCCCAGCCTGGAGCAGACGGGTGCTTCCCTTTGAGAGAGAAAACAGTTAGGATGGGGGAAAGGAGGACTGAAAATTTTTCAAAACGAAACTTTTTTTATAGTAATTTGAAGATCCAGGAAACTTTCCTGGGACAGTATTGTCTCGAAGAAGCTGGTTTTCCTTCTCAGACCTGGCTCTCCTGCTGGGAGCTGTTCTCCCTCTCAGCAGCAGGGGGCGCTGATGACACAGCCACCTCGAGAGTCTCCTGCAGTTTCTTCTTCGGGGTCTGTGCTCCTGCCGCTGTCAGAGCTGTAGAAACTCAGGGCCAGGGAGTGTTTCAGAGCCACATGTGTGGCTTCCGTTTGACACCTCTCTCTACAGAAAAGTCGCTGGGGGTGTCCCGTGGCCCAGGCAGTCCTCTAGGAGGGCGGGCTCAGACCACAATTTCGGGAAATGGGCTCTCGGAGCTCAGGGGACCCGTGTTCTTTTTCAGACCTCTTCTCGGCCAGCCGCTCCATCTTCGGCTCTGTGCCGCCCCCGCCTGTCTCAGCACCGGCCCCGGATCCCAGCAGCTCACCTGCTCAGGTAGAGGTGGCTGTGGGCATCACCGTGCAATCACAAGCAGGGTTCTGGGCACTGCTAAATGTGGTGCTGAGCACACGCGTGACGTGTGGAAAATCAGACTGCGCTCTTCCAAAGCACCCGTAAATCTCGTGAGGTGTGGGCCATGAGCTCCTGCCAGGGGTACCACGTGACCATGTTTGGCTGGAGACAGCACCAGCCAGGCAGATGCGGCCACACCAATCGCTAAGAAAAAAAGGGTTCTGCACATTCCCTTCACTTTCCACTTAGCAGCCGACAGAAGCTGGCACAGGTGCCAGGGCGCAGAGCGGACACGGCCCTGTTCTCCTCGCTACTGTCACCCAGCACTGTCTCACTCCCCCTGCCCGGCAGGACTCCTCTGGAGCCTGAGATCCGCACTGTGATCCCCAGAGCTCTTCCCGCTAACCAAGAAGCCGATTCCTGAAACTGCCCCGGGGGACCCCAAGTGGCTGTGGCCCCAGCACCTCTCTGTAACAGGAGACTGGAGACGGGAGACCCCTGGGACTGGGAACCATACTTCTGGGCAGCCGTCCAGCCACGTGGAGGCCAGGCTGTGTCTGCACTGCCACTGTCCAGCTGTGCCGAGTCAGGCCCATTCCCCCAGCGCAGGGTGATCTGCCCCGGGTCCTTCCCTGGGCTTCCTGGCACGCGACAGCGAACAGTCTGATGCCAGCTTTTGCCCTCATTTCTCCCCTCTTCCTCAGGAGAGCATCCTGCCCACCGTGAGCCTCCCCGACAGCCTCATCTCTCCCTCTGCGGGCCCCTCAGACAGGCAGGGCTGTGATCGCACCTCCCAGGCTGGGGACCCCTTCCTGCAGCCCTCGGACTTTGGCCCCTCGGAGCCGCCACTGGGAGTCCCACAGCCCTTCCTCCCCGTCTTCCCCATGCCCTTGCTGGCCCCCAGCCCTGCCCCGGCCCCTAGCCCACCCGAGTTACCCTCACCGCCTCCTCCTGCCCCTGCCCTGACGCCCCCAGCACCCCCTACCTTCCAGCAGCCTCAGAGGTTTGCAGGGCTCAGCAAGCCTCCCCCCGTCATCACCCACACAGCCTCCACCACCCTCACCCATGCCGCTGCTGCCACCACCTTCAGCCAGAGCCAGGGTCTCGTACTCACAGCCCACCATCCTCCACCCTCGCCGTCCCCCTGTGCCCTCGCCCTGTCCCCTGTTCCCCAGCCACCAGCTGTCAGGTCACCCCAGGCTCGTTTAACTTTTGTACACCCCAAACCTGTGTCCTTGACTGGAGGGAGGCCCAAGCAGCCCCTCAAAATAGTGCCTGCCCCCAAACCGGAGTCCGTGTCCTTGTTGCTGAAGAGTGCGCGCCTGGCCCCAGGTGAGTCTGGGGTGCACACACCAGTCCAGGGTTCCCAGGGAGCTGTGTCCTGTTCCAGAGGCCGTCAGATCCGCCCCCACTCCCTTAAATGAAGCAGAATTTCCTGGATAATCCACGTGTGATCTGTTCTGTTTTCTGTTTTCTGTCTTAAGTCACAACCCGCAGTTTGAACACAGGCTCAGGCCCCATTCACCTTCTGTCCTTGCCCTGCAGCCGCCTTCCCAGGCCAACCGCAAGCAGTGATCATGACTTCCGGCCCTCTGAAGAGAGAAGGGGTGCTCGCCTCCGCAGTGTCCCAGCCCAGTGTGGTCATCGCACCTGCTGCCATCCCCAGGGTGAGGGCCCCGATGGACCCGAGCTGCCCATTTAGCCCAGATCGGCCTGCGTTTGCCCCCACCCCAGTGTGGCTGGTCTGCTCTGCTCTGCTGTGCACCAGTGGTGGGATAACCTCTTTCCCGTGGCACCTCAGAATCCTGGAGTCGCCGAATTCCACAGTGGCATCCTGGTGACGGACCTCGGCCACAGTGCGAGCGGCCAGCCCGCCCCCGTCTCCCGGCTCTTCTCTCCAGGCACGGTGCAGGATTCACTGGTGAAGGTGGAGCAGGCCCCACTTCGAGGGAGCAGTCCCCAGGTCCCTACCGCAGGACCCAGTGAGTCTTACTGCAGTCAGGTGGGGTGGGGGGCACCCAGGGCTCCCCAGGATGTGGCTGCCTGTCCTGCCGATGGCATGGCCTAGGGACATGCTCGGTGGGCAGCAGATGAGCTGCAGTAGCACCAGTGGGCAGGCGGGAGCCACGCATCACGGGTTGCTGGTGCTTGGGAAGCCACCATTTTTGTTGTTTTTGTTTTGTGAGATAGGGTCTGGCCATGTATCTAGGCTGGCCTTGAACTCATGGCATTCCTCCTGCTTCCCTTCCCAAGTGCTAGGATTGCAGGTGTGCACCGCCACGCCTGGCTCTCAGGAAGCTACTCTTACCCTGTCACTCGTAGAGGCCCAGCCTGGAGCTACCAGCTCTCATGAGAAAGGGGACTGAAGAGTCCTTGTGCAGTTTCTGGTGAAAAGGCTGGGGTTGCCATAGCCACGGAGCCCACACTTGTCTCAGCATTGACCTGGGATGGCGGAGTCCAGCTGCTGCCTCTCACTGCCATGTCTGCGTCCTCTGGGGTGTGGGTGTGGCTTTCTCCGGCTTGGACACTGGGGTAGCACTGAGGCCTAGCCCTGCGGGGCTCCCCGTCTGAGGGCTGCTGTGCGCACCTCTGGGCGGGGCCCCTCCCTCCTTGTCTGTCACCTGTCTGTTACAGCCCCTCCTCTTCTCAGGTCGCGATGGCCTGAGCTCAGGCCAGGCTTCTCCGTGTACATCGGAGCAGAGCCCCAGTCCTCAGTCTCCCCAGAACAACTGCTCAGGGAAATCTGCAAACCCCAAAAACGTGGCTGCACTAAAGGTAAAGGTCCAGACTCCTCAGTGGGGTCAGGGTGAGAGGCGGCCGGTGTCACCAGGCTGGGCAGCAGTGATGAGATGGGCCCCTGTCCGCCCGTCTCAGGCCACATGGCGAGGAGGCCTGCCTGCCTGCCACAGTCCTCAGGATGGCAGCTGGCGGCCTGGGGCCCGAGGGGAGAGGCGGAGGCTGGTGAGGACATGTGGGTAGACAGCCCTCCCTCCCGAGACCCCCATGCATTAGCGCCTTTTAGCTTTTTATTTTTCACCTTGTGGTGCTGGGGATGGAACCCAGGGCTTCGCATGTACCAGGCAGGCATTCTTCCGCTGAGCTACGTCCCCAGGCCCTTTTCGGTTCTTGAGACAGGGTCTCTAAGTTCAGGTTGGTCTCAGAGTTGGACTCCTCCTGCCACTGCAGCTGGGGCCACTGCATCCGGCTGGGTGGTGAGGAGGGGAGGCTCAGGGCCCAAGGCCTGGCCTGTCGCAGTGACGGGTCAGCTCCCCAACAGAACCAGCAGCTGAAGCACATCTCGGCTGAGCAGAAGCGGCGCTTCAACATCAAGATGGGCTTTAACACCCTCAACAGCCTCATCTCCAATAACTCCAAGCCGGTGAGTCGCCTGGGCACATCGGCGTCGGGGAGGCAGGACGGCGCTGCGTGCCCCCGCTGAGCTGCCTGTCCCCACAGAGCAGCCACGCCATCACGCTGCAGAAGACCGTGGAGTACATCACCAAGCTGCAGCAGGAGCGGAGCCAGATGCAGGAGGAGGCCCGGCGACTGCGAGAGGAGATCGAGGAGCTCAATGCCACCATCATGTGAGGCCTGGCCCAGTGACAGCCTGTGTGCCCTTGTCCCAGAGGCAGCGGAGCCCTCTGTACCATGGTCCCTCCCTCCCCACAGCCTCTCTGCTCTTGCCTGGCTGTGCCCCTGTAAAAGACCAGCACTGCCATGTGGCACCCCGGCTCCTGCTCTGCCTTTGGCCGCCCCAAACCTGCCTCTGACTCCCCGTGTTGTTTTAGCTCCTGCCAGCAGCTGCTCCCCGCCACAGGGGTCTCTGTTGCCCCACACCAGGTTGATCACATGAGAGACATGTTTGACGAGTATGTGAAAAGCCGGACCCTGCAGAATTGGAAGTTCTGGGTTGTATCTTTTCGTTTTCCTTGCCCTTCCCTCCCACGGGCAGTGGCCAGGGACAGCAAGCCGGGCACGCAGCACCTGAGGAAGGCTCTTCACTTGGCTGTCCCAGTCCACGAGCACAGCAGAGCTGCGGTGGACTTCTGGGGCGCTCTGCAGGGGGGACGATGGAGGGCAAGTGGCCGGCAGTGCGGGAAGGAGGGGTCTGGAGCCCTCAGCTGATCTTGTCCCCGCCTCATGGGAGTGTGACCTTGCCCCTGTGACAGGCAGGAAACAGTGCACAGAACGCTGTGGTGTTGTGACAGTGTGCCCACCTGGGACCAGGCCATCTCAGCCTGTGCAGGGGCAGCTTCTGCCTTGGCACAGCCCTCCCAGCCTCCCCCTGCGTGAAGAGTCCACGCACGTGGCAGGTTGGCCACAGCAGCCATGTGAGGTGGTTCAGACGCAGCAGGGTGCCCTAGGCCCGTGTCCCACCTGCCCAGAGAGGCGCAGGTGATGCAGTCCTCATCCCTGGGCTGTGTAAGGGCTGTGGAAAGCAGGGACAAGAGAAGCCCAGGGATGCTAGTGCTGACCTCCAAGGTGGTGGGCACTGCGGGCACAGGTGCAGCAACAGGAAGGAAAGATAACCACATCCACAGCTGTGCACACACAGCTGCGTGCATGCCATTCGCAGACGCGTTCCAGACCAAAAGGCCTGGTTTGTCCCGGCTGGCACCCGGGCCGGTCATAGTGGGGACAGAGCATCTGGTTGTACAGAGGACTCAACTCACCCGGTGTGGCCCTGCCCATCTTCCCCAGAGGTCTAGGCTTGGGGCAGTCAGCAGGCGCCCTCTTCCTCGGTGTGGGCCCTGCCCTCTGCTCCCCTCATCCTTAACTCAGTCCTATAGTTCAGCATCATCATCAAGCCGCTGTTTGAGTCCTTCAAGTGCATGGTGTCCTCCAGCAGCCTGGAAGAGCTGCACCGCACGGCACTGTCCTGGCTGGACCAGCACTGCTCACTGCCTGTCCTTAGGCCGAGTGAGTCGGGGAGACTGGGCTGAGCGCGCAGGAGGCTGCGAGCCAGAGGACCACTGTGGGTGGGCGCACGCCAGTCGGACCCCACCACTGAGCACCCAGGACTGCCGAATGGGCCGGGAACCCGTGGGCTGCAGGGCGGGTTAGACCTGGGCCTGGAGAGCTATTGCCCCGCAAAGTGAGAGGCCCTCTACACTTGGGGCTGCGCTCCACTGACTGCCCTCTGTCTTGCAGTGGTGCTGAGCACCCTCCGGCAGCTGAGCACCACCACCGCCATCCTGACGGACCCATCCCAGCTGCCTGAGCAGGCATCCAAGGCTGTCACCAGTATTGGCCCGCAGTTGGGGGAATCCTAGCTGTGTGGCCACAAGTGCCCCGAGACCGCTTCCTGCTCTCCTGACGCCCAGCCTCAGGTCCTCCCTCACCTTCCGGGCCGCGAGCCGTCAGGATCTGCACTCAGGTCTGAAGCAGGCCAGGGCCTGCTCACAGCAATAGCGCGCCTCGGGGACCTCGCCGTGGCCTCATGCAGCAACCTCAGCCACTGCCCTCCCGCCCTGGAGCAAAGTACAGCTATGCTTTTCTGTCCTGCCAGGAGGGAGCCTATGGGATAGAAGCAGCCTGCTCCTGCAAGCGGGACATCCCAGTCCCTTTTGGCCCCATCGTGAGACTTACAGACCTGTCCCTGTCACACCCTTGTCTACCTGAGCCCGCCTGGTGCCCTGCACATACTCTGGCTGCCGAAAGCCAGATGGAGGCATCTGCCACCCTCCTAGCCCCAAAGCCTCAACCCCAGGGCCCTGACTCCTGGCCTGGCCTCGCCCGAGCCATGGGAGAAATGCCTTCCTGTCATAGGCCCCAGCACGCCGCCGGGGTGGGCCCGCTGCTTTACCGTGACCCGCCTGGCCTCCCAGCCGAGGCCCTGCTGCAGCCCTGGGAAGAAACCCAGTTCTGGCTCTGGAAAGTCACACTCCATGTTGCCACCATCGGCCCGGTCATCTCGTCTGTTTCATTCAGCTGGGAGCCACAGACCAGGACAGTTTTCAGGTCAAAGATGCCACCATGCTGGCAGGCAGGACCCAGGGGCCTCCCAGGTCGGGCCGTGAAGCCTGCGCTCAGTCAGTGACAAGGCAGGGTGGCTCCTATATGCATGCGGCAGGGGACACGAGCAGCAGGAAGGACCTGCTCGTGTTGGCGCCTCCCCAGTAGCTGCAGGTGGCAGGTGCACGCTCCACACTCAGGGAGCCCATAAGGGCACCTCCTCCATCTTGCTGTGACATCCCCAGCAGCCGGCCGGCTCTCCTTCGTTCCTGTCCTCACTGTGCACTTCCCGTGTCCAGTGTCCCGAGAGTCATGTGAAGAGAGGGCCTGGCTGCCCCTCACACTCTGATCTGCTCAGAGGCTCCACTGGCTCCTGGAGGCCACAGCGCTGAGGCCTGGGTGGGCTGCCGGCTCCACCGTACCCCACTGTACCCCACTGGTGGAGGGCAGGAAGGCCGAGGCAGGTCTCTGGCTGCTGGCAGAGCCGAGTCCTGTCTGTGCTTCTGCCGGACGCGGGAGCAGCTGGGTGGCACCCCTCAGCCACCCCCGGAATGTGTTTACAGGCTGAGGGGTGAGCATGAGGGTGGGGGCCTTGGGAGTCCTGTGGCGGGTGGCGGTAGAGTTCACCCCGAGGACAGGCGCCAAGTCCCCTTTTAGAAGGTCAAGGCCCATTAGCCTCAGAAGGAAAAGAAGAAAACCAAATGTCTCCGAGGCCGGAGCCCAGGCCTCCCCCGCCTGTGCCTTGTGATGCAGATGGTGCCGTAGGCGCAGCCGGACTCTCCTGATCCATAGCTTTCTCCCTGGTGGGAGTGACTTCTTTCTAAACTCCGTGGGATATAAAATCGGCCTGTTGCTTCTTTGGCCTACCTCTCCCTTTTGCTGACTTCGTGTTCCTGGGTCCGAGTTCCTCCGATCTCCGGCTGTCAGGCTGTGAGACCCCTGTGTGCCTGCCTGCCTGCGTCCGTCTCCTGGTGGGCTGACCTAGCAGGAGTCTGTTCTCCAGACTGAGGTCGACTCGTTTCTCTTGGTGCTCGCTGTCGCCGTGCTGTCGTCCACTCGCCGTCCTCCCCCGCCTGGCTGATCTCTGTCCTGGGCCGGCGTGTAGGGACAGCTGTCCCCGCGGGCACTGGCCCGCACTGCTCTCGGCCCGTTTACACTCACTTCCCCCGCCCTTGCCCACTGCCATGCACCGAACAGGCGACAAGAACAGGACCCGAGAAGATAAGAGCCACAGCCCGCGTAGGATCTCGGCGTTTCTGTGAAATCAGGGGCCATCGGTGCCTGCGTTCTTTCACTATGAGTGGGAGGCAGGCCAGGGCCCCGGGTTTCTGAGAGGTGGCGGCAGCGGGGGTCCCCTCAGGAGAGGCCGCCACAGCCCCATGGTTTCTCAGCCCAGCCTCAGGTGTCAGCGCTGTGGGCCCTCACCCTACCTGCGCCCCCAAGGGAGGGCTCTGTTGTCACCCAGGCCTCGAACTCTTGTGACCACCTCCATCCCGTTTCCTGTGCTTGTGGCCTGTCCCACGCCTATGGCTTGTGTTCTGGTCAGGAGAGGTGTCTGCCTGGGCTCGGGACGCAGCTCGGCCTCTGCACCGCTCTGATGGGACGGACTCGGGGGTCCTCTCCCCACCATGTCTGACCTTTCGCCATCTGGTCCCCAGGGTCTCTGCCTCAGCTGAGGCCTGCCCTCCTTCCCGGTGCCTTGCCCGGTACAGTGGTGCCCGGGAGGCCCTGGCAGAGCTGTGCCGCGCGCGGCGTGTGCTGTGGCCTCGCTAGGGAGCGCTGATGTGGGCAGC